AATGAATACATTTCAAATGAATATAATGTATATCTTATTATTTAGATGTTTACTTTTTATTAGATTTACATTAACTGTGTAAAAGCAAAAAATCATGTATATTGTGTAATGAGATGTTTTGATACAAGTATACATTGTGTAATCAGGTAAAACATAGCTACTCATGAAGCGATTATTCTTTCTAGCAAAAACATTCAAAAGCTTTCTTCTAGCTCTTTGAGACATCCAATACATAATCACTCTCTATAATCATTTTACTGTATAATCATTCACTGTGTAGAACTTCTTACTGCTATCTAACTGCACCTAAGGGCCCACTGATTAACCATTCTCTGTTCTTCCTTTCCCTCTACCCTCCCCAGCCTCTACTAGCCATCATGCTATCTTTAATATCTATGAGATCGGCTCTTTCACACTCTACATATGTGTGACACACCATGGAGTACTTGTTCTGCGTCTATCTTATTGCACCTAATGTGATTTCCAGTTCTATCCATATTGTCGTGAATGATAGTATTTCATTGTTTTTTTTAAATTCATTTTAAAAAATCTCTATTGGTGTGGCAAAATTGGCAGCTGCTTCTATCCCCTCAGTATTTTCAATGATCTTCAACTGATGGCATGCAGCAGCTCTAGGGGCCAAGTTTCAAGGCTCTGGAGTGTGTCACGCATTTTAGCCCAGCTCAGATTGCCAGGGGGTACCCCGTAAGAGCTGTCTCAGTCATTAGTATGTTACTACTAATTTATCTTCTCAAGCAGTTAATGGACAGAATTTCACTTTTACTATTTTTACTGGTTTAATGTAGAGGTTAACCTGAGGAATATAAATCCACTTAGTTTTACTGATCAGAAATTTGTGTTTAATTTAAAACATTGTTTTAGGGAGAGCAACTCAATTTCTGCATAAATAAAGACTCAGCATGAAACTTTAGTTAAAACTAAATTTTAAGACTCTAATACAGAATCATACAAAATGTTCTACCATATTTTAAGCTCCTTTCATAAGACCTTGTTAGGATTGCAGAAACATAGCTTTATCTATAAATAATGATTGTTTGTTCTTTAAATATAATAAATTCATGAGACATCTGAGACATGTAGAAAACTGCTTTGAGGAAGAAGTGTAATTTGTAATGAAAATTAATTTTACGTCTATGAAATGTATGCCTATGTATTTAGTTCCCATAAAATAGAACTTAGCTTAGCGTTTCCAGGTTTCACGATCAGTAGCTTTGCTATTAAATCACAAAAGTGTTTGTAGACATGATAAGTGCCACTTTTTAAATCCTTAGATAATTTAAACTTTGAACTCAAATAATCTAGGATTCTGGAACAATTATTTTTCTTGAACATATTGCTGTGTCACCCTTCTGCTCTGTAATTGTTAGTTGCTTATCATAATTATAATATATTTCAGAACTAGTGATGTAAGATAATTTATGATAATTATTTTGATGAGATACCATTTAGGAGCTGGTTTTACTTTGTAATCATACAAAAAAGTAGTGTCCTGAATATGTTATGCAGCACTACATAATCTTAAAGAGTTAATCTCACTCTTTTTGGACTCCAACATTTACCATAAAAGTGCTTTATAGCATCTATATAATTTTTTTCTTCTTTTTTGTCCCTTCTTTGTAGTTGTTTGAAATTACAGTGCCTCTCTCTCAAGGCCCCAAACCAGTAACAATCAGTTTTGCCAATCACACTTCCTGCCGATGCATGTCTAAACTGGATGTTTACAGACAAGTTCACTCAATTATTAGACGTTCCCTGACAGCAGCATTGCCACAGTGAGTATGAATTAAATCTATTTTTTCTGCTTCCTCTACTAATATAAAATTATTTTCAAGTATACACAAGTTTATTAAAAGAAGTTTTGTAAAATTTGCTATGCTTTGCATCAAATACAAAACAAATTATTTATGGTATACTATGAAAATAAGATTAAACCAAAACAGGGAAGCCCATTTTGTAGGCAAGGTAACTCACAATATGAAGAAAATAACTCTATGAAATAACACATTGCATTAGTTTATGCTGTTAGTAAGGTATCCTAACATTCATAAAATCAGGTGTGCAAACTCATAAATGATGTGAAAGTTTAAAACACTTGAGGGTTAAGATTTAATTCCGAAACAAAATAAACATAAATAAATTTATATCTATTAGCATTCAGTTGCCTTTCTTATAACTTCATGTCATTTCTTTCATATAACTTCTTATATATAATTACATTATAATATAATTGAAGTTAGATAGATAGGTACATGTAAACCTGTTTTTTATTTCAGCAAAGACTAGCTTTTGAATAGTGCTTAATTACTTGAAAGAATTTTTCTGTTCATGTTACTTCAAATTAACAAACTATCATTTATTATTCAAGCTGCTCTCCCAACTTTTTTTTTAAATTTGGCAAATACCAGAAATTGATCATTGAGAAAGAAGTGAAGAGAGCATTACATCCTTACCCTGTGAAAAGTTTGTACTGAATCAATGTGTAATGCCATGTGAGACCTAGGAAATTTCTACCCCAAAATAGGGATTCTGCTCTTTGTTTTTAGGATTTCCAGTGAATATTGGATGTACATTTAAATAAAGCTCATATAACTCCAACATTTTTTAAAAATATAAATCTATTGACAGACAAACATGTATTACAAAAATTTAAAGAAATCTCTTGTTTTGGGCTACTCGACTATAAAGATAAATATTTCAATAATGTTCTTTCCCACTGAATTTTTTTGCACTGCTCTACTTAGTGTGGCAGGTGAGAGGCCCTGTACAGGGACATCCTAGGTACAGTTTCATTATGGAGTCCTAAGAGTTCGATTTCCTTTCTCAGCCCTGTTTCTCTTGACAACTCATTCATTCTGAGAACTTTAGCCATTGTCTCTGTGCTCATAATTTCCAGAATTACACTTGAGATCTGACCACGGTCTTCGCTTCTACTACCAGTACTTTATCTAAATTGTCTTACATTGCTATGCAATTATATTAGATCTAAGTGCAAAACCAAACATTTATCAAGTCCTTTTTATTTTTTCACTATTCTTAGCAATATTGTCTCTTATTCCTTTAGACCTTTGAATCACACAGTTGCATTCATTCCTTCTTTTTTGTCCCAAACATGACTGGTTATTTTGGGGGAGGAGAGATATCTGTTCCAACCTAAACTAGTTCATCTTCATCATTTTCATCCTTCATGCCCTTTACTCTATGCATTCTTGATTTAATGCAGTGGTGTCAGTACATTTTTCTAATATCAAATCTTTCTCTCACGTATCATTTCATTCATCTGACTAGAAAGTGACTGTCAAATGATCAAAAACTTGAGCCCTGATCTCTTACCAGCCTGTTCTGTTAATGGGTTTTCTTCTTTGTTTTGCCTTTCATTATTCACCAAGTCTGTGTTTCACAGTCTGATTCCCTGAACACCAAACTCATTTCCTGCTGTATATCTTGTTTCTATTCTGTCCTGGCTTGAAATAAGTTTCTCTGCCTTTCCACAACCCTATCTGTTTCTCAGAGTTCAGGTAAAGGTCTTTCTCCTGCATTTATCTAGTCAAAATGTCATAGTGACCTTTGCTTCTTAAAAACTCATAGCAATTACTGAATCTGTAACATACCTTTGCATGCCTTCATCAGGGGGTATAAATATTCCCTGTGAAAATCGATTGTGAGAGTGTCCCAGGTAGTTTAATATCCTCCATAATATCTAACTAAAAATTCTCAATAATAATCTATCCATTGCACTGTTCTTGGTTTTTTACTTACACTGTCTCATTTAATCTTCACCAAAAATCTCCTGTGAGATCTGTATTTGTGTCATTTTATAAATGAAGCAAACAACACATACAAAGTTCTGTGGAGTACTGAATAAAATCCTGAACCCTTTATGCAATCCTTAGCATAGTATCTGGCATCCAAAAGGCAGTCACTAAAAAACAAACTTATTATTAAGATCCAAGTCTAACTTATAACCTTGTCTCCATTTTTTAAATGTTTTCTGTACCACTAAATACAATAAGAAATATGTTATATTCCAATCAATATATATGCACATATATATACACACATAATATATATATATGCTATGTAACATATAGTTTTAAGATATGACTTTACATGTAGTCATATATGAGTATAAAAATTAAAAAAATAATTTCCCTTATTATACTACTGTTCAACCTTTTTCATTAGTCCTTCCCAAGGATTCATTCATACTTTCCCTACTCACTCCCACCATGAAATTTTAATGCCACAGATAGTAATATGTATCTCTTTATGTAATACTTGTACATTTGAGCTTTATAAATAACAATGAAGTATAAAGTTTCCTTTTTATTCAATATAGGGTTAAAATGACAAAATAAAAATATAAGTTAAGGGCTGGGGATTTAGCTCAGTGGTTTCGCTGCCTGCTGTGCAAGTGTAAGGATCCGAGTTCAATCCCCGGTATAAAAAATATATATATATAATATATATTATTATATATATTATATATATATGTTAAAAGTTAAACTAAAAGCTTTAAATCTAAGGTATACTAATGAATCCCTGTAATCCCACCAGACTGAGAGGCTGAGTTGTAAGGATTACAAGTTGGAGCCTGAACTGGCCAACTGAGAGACATATGTAGCAAGACATCATCTCAAAATAGAAAATAAAAAATGGGCTAAGGATATACTTTAGTACAAAGATCTTGAGTTCAGTCCTCAATACTTCTAAAAAAATATTGATTAACAATTCACAGAAATCTATACCTTTTTACTGAGAAATAAAATGTTAAGGTAATAAATTTACATAAATGATAATGTTGTTACATTGTGCAAACTAGAAGTTGATATGAATATATAACAATGCAAATATAAAATTTTTTGTATACCCCAATTCATTATTTTACCATCAAAATAAAATGGTTTTTAAAATAATTATTTTTTATTTTATTGGTACATTTTAGACATACATAATGATAACATTCAACATAAGGAATGTGTACCTGTACATGGTATCTCTTAATCCTTTTTTTCCCCAATCCCCTCCCCTCCCTTCAACTCCTCCTGATTTTAAAAAGAATTATTTAAAATATTTAGAGAATTTAACTTGTACCTCTGCTGGATGTGAGAGAACTACTATTAACTTTAGCTAATTGATATTAATTCAGAAGTTAGCAACTTTGACATAATGATTGGATGCAGCATTTGACATAGTGATTGTATGCATAACTTTTGTAGTGTTAATAATAAAATATAAACAATTTTCATTTAATTATTTAATTTTCTATGTTCAAGTCACACTCAAAAATACCAAGGACCCAGCATAGGAAATATCCACAAGGCAACCAGGCACAGTCAGAGCACAAATAGGTACCTCCCACTGCCTGATTTTAAGATTACAAAGTCAAGAAATGTCCTCCCACCACACCCATCTATTCACCAGAATTTTGTAGCTTTTGTTTACCACACCCTCTGGAGATTTCCTGGTACCAGTACCACTTCTGTAATAGCTCATAAAACCTAATAATGGATTTCCTTAGGTTTTGGAAGGCTAAAATCCATTGTAATGATCAAGATTTTTATCTCCCCATATCCAGTTTTTATCCTCTTAGAAATGATATTACTCCTGTTATAAGTGTGTGATTTATTACATGTGATTCACCTAAATATTTTTATTTTCAACTCTGTTTCTCTTCTTGAAAATGTTGGTCTTTATCCAGTTGTGAATCAAGCCTGCAGATTAATAAAAAGAGCTACCATAATGATAATGTCTATACACGATTGATGAGTAGCTATGTTATGAAATCCTAACCTTGCTTAAGAGTTAAGAGGAACACTCACCACAATTGCTAAATTAAAAAGACTAACAAAAAAGTGTGGGAGAGGCTGTGGTACAACTAAAACCTGTATAATTACTGATAAGAGTGTAGTAACATGGTTCAACCATTTTTCAAAACAGTTTGGCAAATACTTATGAATTTAACATATACATTTACAGTGTGATCCGTAAAGTGCCCTCCTAAGTAATACCAAAATATATACATACATGCATACTTTCTCACTATAACTTGTACCGAAACCTTCAGTAACCAATAACTGGAAACAACCAAATGTCTATCGTAGTATGTCCATAGAGTAGAACATTGCTAAGCAATGTAAGAATGAACTGTTGAAATGCACCATATGAATAGATCTAAAAAAATTAATCCCAGTGAGATAAGATAGACAAAAAAGAGTGCATCCATTATGATTTGATTTGTATGAAAACCTAGAAATGGCAAATATAAGCTAGATTGAGAGAAAGCAATTCAGTAGTAGCTTCAGGATGTGAATGGAAAGATTAGAAAGGTTGGAAGGGAGAAAGGAATATTTCAGTATAATGGGAATGTATATTTTGATTGTGGTGGTGGTTTCATGGGTACATAAACTTCTGAGAAGGCAGTGAATTTAAAATTAGAGCATTTAATTGTGTACAAATTATTTTCAAAAAGCCAAGAGAAAAGGAGCCCTTTTATCAATTATAATTTTGAAATTAGTTTAGATTTAAATTTCTAGACTTTGTGAAAACCTTTATGAACTTAAGTGAAATGTTTTGCAGTACTGGAGATTGAACCTGGGGTCTTTGCACTGAGCTACCTCTCCAGCTCTTGTTTATTTTTAATTTTGAGACAAGGTCTCATTATGCTACTAAGTTGCCCACACTGAGCTGGAACTCCTGCCTCAACCCCCCACAATGCTATGATTACAGGTGTGCACCACCAGGCTGCTGCGTTTAATCTTTTAAGATTTTCCTG